TTGTTCATTACTGTTGGTTGCTTCTCCTCATTCATGTATTTCACCCTGTAGAGAATCCTCCCATTATGCAGTGGTAAACCTGGTCATATCCTTTGACAACAAGTTGTTTTTTTTTATCTTTTCTTTTTAAATTTTCTGCTGTGGCAATTGGTCTGTAACACAACATTACCAGAAAATAAGAGTGATAACTATAGTAGATTTAAAGCCAGAAAGTATCTAAAATTCTATAAAACATCAAATTACGGAGAACATTTTCTTAAATTTTTAAGATTACCGAGTACTCAAAAATTATATATAAAAGGTGATCATGTTAATTCAATTACTTTTTTTAATGCCTAAAGTCTGTAACATTAGATAAATATCAATATGTCATCAAGCTGTCAAACCTGCAAATACCTTAATTAAACAGTTACTGTTGGGTTAAAAAAATGAATTTTTGCAATATTTAAACTTAAAGTAAGTAATATTTCTTTCAAATAAGATTAATTATACTTTAAATCAACCAATAAAGTTTCAGAAAAGTATATTTTATTTTTGGAAGATTTTTTAATAAAGAAAATTACATGAGTAAAAGATGGGTGCCAATCAGCTATTTTCACACAAAATTCTTTCAGTTAATTTAAATTAGTTTTGAGATAAAGTATTTTACCTATTGGAAATATTAAATTTAATTTATTAATTTGAAATTAAAACTAAAATAAAAGCTTCAAGAAAAATGTTTCATTTTTAAAAATTCATTTTAAACATTAGGTATCACGTTTTTTGTGGAGGTCACTACTTTTATATAAAAATTATATATTTTTATTTTTATATAATTTTATATGTTTGTATATTAAAAATTATATAAAAATCGTTCACATTATATTCCTTAAGTAATTTTCACAGATATATTCACTTATATCACCATCTCTCTGTCAGTCTGTTAACACCTTACATAAACATCCATTGCTGTGTTAAAAATACACTTCTGCAATATTTTAAACTAAACTGCTCCTCCCCCTCTCTCTATATCACCTTACATCAACTTAAAACTACCCCTCAAAAGTGTATAAAAACTATATGTAAATTTAAAATATTTTTTCCCTCTTGGAAGTGTAGTCTGATGAACCAGGTAAAAACCCCATACCTGGGGAAATAAATTATAACCAATGGACCTTTAAGGTTGTCTGTTTTCTATTTAAATTGAATTAATAATTACTCTGATTTGAGACTGAGCTCTCTGGACTACATCTTCCTTGGGATTATCCATATGGATTACCAAACTTTTGATTACTTAATTATATATATATATATATATATATATATAAATAAACTAATGACCCCCAAAATTTGAGACAGCTATCTAATAATGTTCAATGCCTCTCTTCCTGTTTAATAACTATATGATGTGGATTGTAGTCTACAAGATGCTAGAGTCATTGCATGTGTATATATATGTCAGAGAAACAGGCATAGAATTCTGGAATTCAATTCCATAAACATAAAAAACTATCAAAGACAACAGCATCAATTTCCCTATTGGTGCACACTTCAACCAACTCAGCCACAGCATTGATAACATCAGATGATGGGCACCTTGAGGCGGTGTAATAGTTAGCAAGCTTGTTTCGCTAGAACATTTATGATTGAATTCTGCGTTTGATCCTCACTGGATGTGCCACATCTAAGTTACACTTGGAAAATCACTTGATAACACCAGATGCATGCTTTTAGCATCTTCATTTAAGAGCCAACAAGAAAGACATAAATCAGAGTTAAAACACATTTTCAAAATAGAATCACATATTAAAGGATCGAACAGGGATTTAGGTTTGCTCAGAGAATACAGTTTCCACAGAGAGCCTTATTGACAATATTTTTTTATCATTTTGTTGTCTTTTCATTCCTTGAATTTCATTAACTGGTCTATTAAATCTATACATATATATATATATATATATATATATATATATATATATATATATATATATATATATTGTGTGTTGGGTATGGCTGCAGGGAATTTAATGAATTCTACAATATGTTTCATACTTAGGGTTTAAATCTGATGTGTGTAGAGTGCAGTGGAAGATCTGAAAGTTAGCCTCTGCAAGATAGAGAGGGGTTATGTTTTGTTTGAACAAATGAGTGGCTAGAAACACAGCAAGTAGAAAAAGTGGCATCTAAAGGATTTGCAGCAAGAGCTTGAGATTCACTTGTGGTCTTTACAAACTCCAATAGAATACAACTCATACCAATACAAGGATACTACTACTGACCCCCACACAATAAAATTCCCTATTTTTATCCATAATATTGAATGTGTTAAAAATTAAAATTATTAAACTTTTTAGCAAGTTCATGTTAAAAAATTGCTGTAAAACCTTGTTGATTTATTTAAGATGGAATGATCTATTATGAAATGTTTCTAATTTGTATTTAGATACATTGTATTTATTTTTAATTTTTCTAGTTGAATTATTAACCTATATGGTGCAATGGATAAATTATCTTCTAAATTACACAAAAAGAAAAATAATGCTGACATCTCATTTTAACAGATATATTTACCAAAATTACACAAAAATGTCTTGAAATATTAAAGAGTAAATTTATTCGATAAAATCGCCATTGATTTCAACCACAGCCTCTAGACAACTTCAGAATCTCCTGCAACTCTTCTGGGTGGTCTCTTTGTTTAGTTGGTGAATGTTGCTATAACTGTTGCCTTCAGTTCATCTTTGGTGTTGCAAGGAGTTGGTCTCTCGCTCAACTGTGCCCCATACATAAGTTGCATTCTGGGGAGTTATGTGGCCAGATGTAATGGATGATATGGTCGCAGAAATTGTCTGGCAGCCATCAGTGGGTTCGCCTGCTTGTGTGGCATGGTGCATAGTCCTGTTGCCAGATATAGGGTCTTCTAGCAGCCATCCTCTTGCTTGATCCAGGGCGGCACTAACCTCCTCAAGGCACTTGATGTAGACCTCTGTGTATATAGTTTGTGGGAAGATGAATGGAGGCATAATGTCGCTATCACTAGTGATCACTCCAAACACCTTTGTAATCACCATTAGACTCATCCAACTCTTTCCGAATCCTTTGCACTGTTCTCAGATTGACACCCAAACACACTGAAATGTTCATATTGGAGCTTCCAACATGAATGCCAAGCAGTACAGTATACCGTTTCCAAATTTCTGGCGGAGTGAATTGTGTCATGATGCTCTTTTTCTCACAGATGGTGCCCAACTGACCCTACTATACTGTGCAGTTGACAAAAAACAAACAATGCAAATACACAAAATTAAAAATATAAAATGGCGGTAATTTACCCATCGCAACCTGTATAGTGCATATGATCCATTATTGTACATAATTAGGTCACAATAAAATTTCTATTTTATATGAATACTACCTTATGAAAATTGAGGTGTAGTAGAGTGTGTGTGTGTGGGGGTCCTGTATCATAGATTCACTGGGGGCTCATAGATTTGGTGGGTGCTCATAGATTCGGCAGGGGCACAAGACCCTTGCACTGGCCCAGATATGGACTCCCTGATATGAACTTGAATACTTGCTTGAACTAGCTGGAAATGCAACTAATTTGACCAGATTACATTGTCCAGAGGTGATGTTCTTGATTGTTAATGTATACCATATATAATGTAGAGTGTGCTGACTGATGGGTTTAGCAGCACCATTGTTGAATTGGGATGTGAATTAATGTCATATTCCCCTTCATTGTTTATATAATCATATAATAATAATAATAATTTTTGAAGGTCTGAATACAGAAACCTGGTGCACTACAGTGCCACAAGGTCCCCCCAAATGACTCTCTGCAGGTTTTGAATTCAGAGTTGTCCTTCTCCTAGACCAGTTGCCATCCAAGGCTATAGAACCCAGACTGTCCTGCTATTTACCCATAGTTGGGGGGAAAGAAGGGAATTCATAACTTTGCTAAGGGTATTAGCACGTAAGTGAATGTAATGGATTCAACTGGAATTCGAACTTGGCTCTTTGATTCCTCAATCCAAGCCGCTATCCATTACTCCACTGTACCTCCATATATATATATATATATATATATATATATATATATATATATATATATATATCACACATTCAGTGCTGTTGCTAATAAAATAGTGCTCGATATAATATAACAGAGCTATTAAGTATATATTATTAAATATACATTTTTTCATGCATGAAACTCTGAATCAACCTGGTGAGGAAAAAATCTATATTTATCAATATATATATATATATATATATATATATATATATATATACTCAGTGAACTGTCTAAGTTTGGGGGATTACTTGGAAGTACAAATGATGAAAAACATGTCTGAAAAATTTGGTCTTAACCCCAACAGCTGTATTCTACCCGACTCTCATTTACTTTGAATTTCTTGGCTGGCACCTGTCATTAGAATATCTTCCAATATTTGACACACATACATGCACGCAAACAAATACACACACACACACACACACACACACACACACACACACACACACATGCACCCATTTTCTTGTATGTCACATGTATATCTGAGCATGTCTACATAAGTAACCACTTGGCTTGATTTCCTCCCTTTCCTCTTAATTCTTATTATCTTTGTGTTTCTATTTGATTTTACTTTGCGGTTCCTTTTTTCATTTCGACCAAGCAACCATTCAAGGAACTTTTCAAGATTTCCAAGATGTTTGCGATGATTTTTGGCGTCAAAACCTTGAGTGCAAGAAGCCAATGAATAGAATTCAAAACAGATGTAGAAAGAAGTTCTGAATTTGAAAAATACAAACAATCCCTCTTGACATTGCACCAGCTTTCTTAAGCTGTTTTTCGCTTCTTTTAAATTTCAGCTCCCTTTTTTTTTTTGAAAAAGCACAACTCACATTTGTGATTTACAGCAATTTCAAGGTTCATTTTTGTTGGTTCAGATGAGAAGGTGAAATAGTTTACAGATTTACTGTCTGATTATTATTAGGGCATGTACTTCTAAAATCAAATGCACTTTCCCTTACAGTTTGTCATCATCTTTCAAGAAAATATAGCACTCATCTCTTTGTTAGAATATTCCAGCTGTCCTCTTACACGTGACCGTTTTCTTTCTCTCTTATGCAGCTCTACACACAACTGCTAGTTTGTCTCCCCTTTTCTATATTGACTAGATACACTCCAGTTGCTATAAGTAGATATTGCAAGGATTTTCGATAAGCACTCAGCAGGAGGGAGATATTTGACACTGTCTCATGGACGTCGTTCTTTGAAATTGGAGAGAATATTAAGAAACTGGAAAGTTTTGTTAGAAACAAAGAAAAGAGTGCTGAACTGTTACGTAACATCAGTCCTCTATATAACAGTGAATGCTGGATAATCTCCTCAAAGATGAAGAAGAGACATGAAGCAACAGCAATGTGGTTCTACAGAAAGATGCTGAGAATGCCATGGAACATGTGAGCAACGAAAAGGTTCTGGAGAAAATGGAAACAAAAAAAGAAACAGGAAGAGGCAGTTGAAATTTCCAGAGCATGTAATGAGGAAGGAGGGCTTGGAAAATCTGATACTCACAGGACAGATTGAGGGAAAGTAGTCACAGAGGAAAAACAGCATGTAACAAACTTGAGTAAAATGATAGCAGAACAGGGTTTGGGAGAAATTGAAAAAAGTCAAAATTTATCAAGAGTTGCAAGGAACAGGAAGATATGGAGGGCCATGATCGCATATGTCTTGAAGGGACACAGAACATAAGGAAGAAGGAGAAATTTGGTAACTGGAAAAAAAATGTTTTCCATCTTTCTAGTGCCTGAAGAGGTGAAGAATAGACTTGTGACCACAGAAATCTCGTTCTACTGCTGAGAATGCTATAGACTGAACATGTGTGCAATGACAAACATTTAAAGAAAAGGAAAAGAAAAAGGACACTTAGAATTGGAAAGAGACACTAGGATTTTTTAGGATATATAATGGGCTTGGAGAATTTGACACTCACAGGATATATTAAAGGCAAGCAGAACAGAGAAAAGCAGCAAGTAACCTAGCTAACAAGCTTGTGTAAATGGATGACAGAAGAGGAAGAAGTAGAGATAGTAAAAATACAAACATTGCTTAGATATGAAAGATAAGAGGTTGTGGAGAGCCATGACTGGACACAATACAAAGGAGAAGAAGAAGAAGTAGTATTTTTGATGTTCTGTCTTCACTTATAAATAAATAAATACTTGTAATATCATAATGGTCTTCAGTGTGATTATTGGAGAGAAAGCTGTTTAGTCTGATTAACATGGTCTCCGCATCAATTAAGAATGTTTAAATATTAAAATTGAGTCCAAAGCCTTAACAACTTGGTAGAAAGAAGAGTAGCCTTTTTTTTTACATGTGGAAGTCTGTCCTTGAGAAGAAGTTATCTGAATAGAATTTCCTTCTTACCAATTGAATGCAGAGATGATGGGGATTCAAGCCTGTGGATAGAGCAAGGTGGGGTCTGTAAAGATCTGAACTGGTGCCACTAAAGAATGAAGCTTGCCTGAACATTTTCTATAGAAGTAGTGATATGCTTGTGACACTGGGTCTGCGGGAAAGGGGTTGCAGGGTGAAAAATAAGTCATCACCCACAAGGCTGTGTGAATGACCTTGAACTCTGTCAAGGCTGGAGAATGAGAACTGGGCAACTGTACGATGTCTATAACTGAACATCAGTGTCAGCTCTTAATTCAAAATTTTTCTTTTTTGAATGCCATTTCCCTTCAGAGTGTAGTCATGGTCCTCCATCGAGTCCTTTTGCTTTTAACATCAGTGAATTGCGATGAATTTAGGAAAGATAGTGGAGTAGTTTCCTGTTACCTACTTTGACCTTCTCAACTGGCTAGCATTCAAGGCTAGAGAACCCAATCTACTCTACTATTTAACTTATATATGTATTCATGCTTTTCGCAAGGCTAATAATACAAAAGTGAACATAAAAGACTAGGTTAGAATTTGAACTGAGTTTGCCTGTTCCACCATCTGTGCTGATAGCCTTTACTCTACATGCTTGTTATTTGCAATAAAAAGAAATAAAAATTTAAGATGAAAAACATTTACTTGTCAAAATTAAAAATTAATAATGGTTGATAATACTTCAGTTGAAGATACCGATCAAGATAATCTTGTGAATAACCCATATTTTATACGTAATAATATATTTCAATCCATTAAGGCCATGGAGCTATTTCCAAAACCATATTGATATGCCAACTCTTTCAAAATAATCTTTCTTAGATGACATATATGAATGAACTTCTTGTCACATGTGAAGAAATGTCAGCTTTTCCTAATTATTACGGTTAAAGTTCTGTCTTCATATTATTACAAATCGTTGGAATGTCATCAATTCTTTCCATTTTGATTCCTTTTAATTTCTCAGAAAAAAAAATTCTATGGAGAAGAAACTGGCAAATATGGAGAGTGTGATATCATAGAAATGTCCTTTCCTGTAATTCTTGGACAGAGACGTTCATGTATGAAAGAGAATTGCAACAAAGAAAAAAAAAAGTCAATAATCATCTTCTTGAAAGATTTCAATGTTTTCTCATTCAATTAAATGGAAACCTTTTCCTTAAACACTTGATGATTTGTTAGACAAATGATGAGCTCAAAATTGAACAGCAAAAGCCATCATTGACATTGGCATTTGCCTGTGTTTTTTTTTCTTCATTTGGGTTAATAACAATAAATGCAGCTTTTTTCCTGACATTTTATCCTCTGATAAACGGTTCTTGCCAAAGTGATAATTACACAAGCAGTTCAAAACATCTGAAGAATTTTCCCTCTTGCTGTATTTCAAGGAGAAATTGATACATTCTGGTTGCATCACTTTTCTAACTATTTTCTTATTACAGGAATGAAAGGAAATGAGTGACTTTTATCAAAGTCTTTTTCTCTTTGGCAATCAAATAAAAGGGAAACTGATTCACTTTCTCAAAATATGTCTCTCTCACATTTACAGCAGTTTCATGTCTTCACAATGTCATTTTCAGCTGCTCAATTTTCTTAACAATTACTTTAAGACATATATAACTGCTGCTTTAATATATATATATATATATTTAAAATAATATAATCGTAATATATATATATATATATATATATATAGTGATTTTCCAAGCATAGCTTAGATGTGGCACAAGGTCGAAATTAAGGGGCACCCAGTGAGGATCGAACTCACTACTCAGTCGTAATTGTTCTAGCAAAACAAGTTTGTTAACCATTGCACCACCTCAAGGTGCCTATATATATATATATATTTTTCAATTAAAAGGTGCAATTATAATTTATAAATTCATGAATCATTCATACAAAAAACAAATATAGAGGTTAATGATTTAAATGGCGAGAATACATCTTCACAAACAATTTCAATAACATACATCAACCCCGAACCTGTATATGAATGATATGATCCCTGTTTATTAATTCCAGTTGCATAAGGTTTTTTTAATTTTTTACAAGCTTTCGTCTGTTCCTACAGACATCCTCAGGTATGGAAATAGATTTTGTTCTTGTTTTTACTTCTCGGTAATAAGAGGACAACGAAAAATAGATGTAATCGAAAAATCTATATATATATATATAATATATATATATATATATATATATATATATATATAAGTTCATGCCACATTGACAGTTGTGCGTTTTTGTACAAAAACGCACAACCTTAAAATTTAAAATTCAAACTCAGTGTTGCGACCTGCACGTTCCAAAACAATAACACATTTCTCATAGCATATATATAACACATTTCTCATAGTATATATATATATATATATATATATATATATACACATACTTAGTATATCAAAAATACTTTTATAAACTTTGGGGGTGGGTGGAACCAAAAACAAAAAACAAGGATAAATTCCACATAAACATACGTCTGCAAATCCTTCATTTTTCAGTTATTAAGTTTAAAGAAAGTTTATGGTAGATGGTGCTGAAGGAAGACCGAGATCTGCTTATACGCCCAACCATGAAGAACACATTCTACAGGCTGTCAGAGAGAGTCCAGGTTTCAGCACACGTCAAGTGGCCCTAGCATGTTTTTACATCTAGTACCACATGGAGGGTACTTCAAGAGTAACTCCTATATCTATATCATTTGCAATGTGTACAGGGTCGTTTATCCTATGATCACTCGCCACAGGAAAACTTTTGGTGATGATTTATTGCATAAACTGCCAATCTGTTGTTTGTCTTTTTTACAGATAAGCCAACATTTGGAAGAGATGGAATAACAAATTTACACAACCAACATTTGTGAGTGTATCACATTCTCCATGGTATAATACATGCAGTATCGGTTTATAATTAATGTATGGGCCGGAATAGTAGGTGACAGTCTGGTAGGTTCATATGTTCTCCCAGCACATCTTACAGGATCTGTCTACAGGGACTTTATTTCAAATGCGACTCCAGACCTGCTAGAGGATGTATTCTTACTAATATGAAGATGCATGTGGTTCATGTCTGATGGTTCCAGCATATTTTAGTCAAATTGCTCACAATGCGCTGGCTGATAGGGGAGGACCAGTTCCATGGTTTTCACATTCCCCCAACCTCAATCCTTTGGATTTTTATCTGTGGCTCCATCTAAAATATTTGATTTATGCAGCGGACAATAATATGCTGATACTTCATCAATGTGTTATGGAGATCTGAAAAACCATTCGACATCGTGTGGAAGTATTTGAAAAAGTCCACCAGTCAATTATCTGATGGGTGCATGAGTGTGTAGAAGCAAGCAGAGGGGATTTTGGACATTTTTTATGAGTTGCTGAGGTACAACAATGGCCTTTTGCACATATGTTTATATGGACATTTTACCTTGTTTGGGTATGTGTGTATTATATATATATATATATATATATATATATATATATATATATATATATATATGTTTCACCTGTTTTTGGCGGGAGATATTTAATGCCTTCAGTGATCCATTCTGGGACTTTTCGTCCTGGATATGACGATAAACTGCATCCGCATCCTGGGTAAGATGATAAACTACGTCTAACATCAAGGCCTCTGAAGTTTTGAGGATCGTGGAACCACCTCTTAATTGCTGGTGTTCCCAAGTCCACCCTGTCAGGGTCCCAGCTATGGGCAAATGGTTAACTCCCAAACCCAGATCTCGTCCTGGGTATGACGATAAACTACAACCATGTCCTGCGTATGGCAATAAACTACATCCTCATCCTGTGTAAGCCAATAAACTGCATCCAACAGCAAGGCCTCTGATCAGGAGGTTTTGAGGAGCATGGAACCACTTCTTAATTGCTGGTGTTCCCAGGTCCACCCTGACCCGGGGTGGTAGCACCTGTTAGGGTCCCAGCTATGGGCAAATAGTTAACACTCAGACTACATCCGTGTTGTGGGTATGACAATGAACAACGTCCAACAGCATGGCCTCTGATAATACGTCTTTGAAAAAATAATGTTGCCAGCTGTACATTTTTGAAAAAATAATATTACCAGCTATACATGTTTTTTTTTTGAAAGAATAGTGTTGCCGGCTCTACGTTTTTGAAAAAATAATCTCACCAGCTATACGTTTTTGGAAAAAAATAATATTACTAGCTATACATTTTTGAGGAAAAAATATTAACAAAAATAGATTTTTGACAAAACAAAAATATTACCAGAAAAAAAAAAGAAAAGTTGTTGGCATTAAATGACCCATTGAGGTTTTGATGTGCCATAAAACAAAACAAACCAAACCATTCTGGGACTTCATTGGGATTACTGATAAGCATTGATAAAGTTTGTGCAAGGATTTTATGGATTGATGACAGATGACTGTATCATTTTCTTTTGTGTAGGCAATGTATGTTAGCGGCTTCAGCAGCAGTCTGTTATTTTGTGTTTATCTTTTCCTCTATCCTTTATGTCACTTGACTATCATGATTCTTTTGAAATCAAATAGATTTTGTGAACTGTTATATTTCTTCATATATTTTCCACAATAGTCAATGATGACATATCTATGTCCTGGCTTATTGTGACAGAAAAAAATAACTCACCCACCTCTACCCTCTAACCTTACTTTACTATTTAGCGTAGATCTGACATTTAATTGGTTAGTCACGACATACCCACAAGTCTATTTTTAATTCTGACCTTATGTCCCCACTCTTTAACTTTCAGAATAGAGGTAACACTTTCCTTAAAAGTCATTTAATCACCAGTTATTTATCATCGCCTGAAGAAATACAACCATAGTATTGAAACATGAAAGCTTTTTTGTAGTGATTTCAATATGTTTTATTATAATCTCTTATAATAAAAATATAATAATAATATATTGCTCTACTTTGTATTGAGCACTTTTTAAAAAGTAAATGCTACAAACAGTGGAATTTTACTCATCTGTTCTTTCTCTCATTTGGACATTTCTTTATAGGAAACAAACTACATGGCATCCAGAACAGCTAAAGTTCATCATTGTTGGTAAATAGTTGTCTGCTAATGTGAACCTTCTTCATCAGAATGTTTCACAAGTCTTCAGTTAGATTAAGGTTGGGTGAACAAGCTGACCACTTCATAAAAAAAGTCTCTTTAAAATCCATTTATTTTAGATTTTGATTAGTTTTCTTCATGGCAGAATATTGTGCATAGAAATCACATTTCTAAATTGTTTGTTTCCTCTTGCGGTATGGCCCCATGCATACCTTCAAAAAATCAAGGTATATTTGAACAGTTGTGTTAACATCATCTTGTGCTCACCATAGGCACACCATATCACCACCTATAATCTGACGACAAAATATCATGCAAGATCTGTCATATTGATGCCTTAGCTTTGTTTGTTCTGTCAAGATTAGAACAGGGTGTTCACCAGTGAAAAAATGGTAGAAAAATTAGTCCTCATTTATTCTGTTACTCATTTCATTCAATTGTTTTATGGGTGTTTTTGAAAGGAGGCCATGTGATCAGTTTCACATGTTTTGTCAAGAGATAGTTGTGTTTTTTTTTATATTTCCTTTGCTGTCACAACACCTAAAAATTTGACTACATTACAAAGATGATGCTTTTATATTTACACTCTTGATATGGGGCACAGACTGGTAAGTTAAAGACCTCCATTTGTTCTTAGATATTATCAGACTTTATGCTATTATCAGATATTACAAGACCTTATGCTCTTATCAAATGCTATCAGACCATATAACTTTATCAGATATTATGAGACATTATGCCAATATCAGACATTATCAGTTATAAGAGCATAACCTATGTGACTTTATGCCCTTACCAAACATTATCAGATCTTATGCCCTTATCAAACCTTATCTGACTCTATACCCTCATCAAACATTATAAAACCTTATGCACTTATCAGACCTTATCGGACTTTATGCCTTTATCATACATTATCAGAAATTATCTCTGTAACAGATATTATCAGATGTTATGCTCTTATCAGAACTTATTTGACTTTATGCGCTTATCAAACCTTACGCACTTATCAGACTTTATCTGATTTTATACCTTAGCAAATATTATCAAACCTTATGTTCTTATCAGACTTTATCTAACTTTATGCCCTTAGGAAACATTATCAAACATTATGCCCTTATCAGACCTTATTTGACTATATACCCTTATCCAAAATTCTCAGAAATTATCTTTGTATCAGATATCAGATGTTATGCTCTTATCAAACCTGATCTGACTTTATACACTTATCAGACCTTTGCACTTATCAGACCTTATCTGATTTAATACCCTTAGCAAACATTATCAAACCTTATGCCCTTATCAGACCTTATTTGACTATATACCTTTATCCAACATTATCAAAGCTTAAGCCCTTATCAGACCTTATCTGACTTTATACCTTTATCAAACTTTATTAAACTTTATCAATTATTAATAGACCTTATGTTTGTATCAGATATTTTCAGCTTACTTTATGCACTTATCAAACCTTATGCCCTTATCAAATGCTATCAGAATGTATGCCCTTATCAGACATTATGCTCTTATCAAACCTTATCTGACCTTATCTGACCTTATCCATCTATTAAACATTATCAAACCTTATGCACTTATCAAATGTTATCAGATCTGCATTGGAGTTGTTCAAGATCTTCAAATAAACCTCTTCATAGTTCAGTCGTATGAGATTTTGTGCATTGTTTCATCTTTTGCAAGCTCTGAAGATATTAAACTTTATCCATCAAGTCAATGTCTTATAATCCCAGCTTCAAACTTGTATTAATTTTGGACTTTGAAGTTCAGGACATTTCATACAAAATGACTTCCATTTCTTTCACACTGAACTGAATGAACTTTCACCTTAACTGCATAGATAGATGTTTGCATCATTCGGTAAACAAGCTTCTAGGTTTCATTATGGATTTATTTTATAGATATCAATAAGACATGAAGTACCTAATAACAATAAGTTGCAACACACACAGACACACGCACACATATATAATATTGAAACTGTATAAATGAGTAGTATAGTTCTGTGTGGGAACATTATATATGTGAATATGAATATGCTTATATATAAACATGTAAACACTTATATGTATATTTTATATACATTTGTATGTGTGTGAGGATAACCTACTGTCTACAGTTCTAATAATGATGGGCAAGTACTTCCAGAATAATTATGTCCCTCCAAGCAGGTCATTTTTAGCAAACATCAAAGCAGTGTTAGATTGAAGCTGAAGTCTCACCAATTGCTTATCTTCCCTACCAAACCCAACAAATCTTCACAACCTTTTAGACTCTCATTGACTTGAACAGATGTCAAGTGGAACTCTCTACTTTGGCTAAATTCTCTTCCGTCTTAAACAAAAAACAACCCACACAGGTTTGAAGCCTACTGAACATTAATTTTTAACCCCCTATTTTATTTATGCTTGCACCCCACTCCTCATTTTTTTTTCTTTTAGGAAATACAATTTTGAAGAAATTGCTGCCGTTTTAAGAAACTTTCTCTTTTGGTTCTGAAATTAGAAAGACCACTAATCTTTCGTTGTTTTTACATATCATAATGATAATTTTTTTCATCTGATAATAATTTTTCATATGATAACAATAATTTTTCCTCTGTGATAATATATGTGAAAAGCTGATTAAATGTTTGTGAATTTTAGGTAAAAAAAAACAAAACTGTTTTGGAAAAGTTTCAATTATTATTTATTATCAAATTTGTTATGTGTCCACAAAAGAAAAAAAAATAGACTTTTTCTTACCTGCCTGTATTTAGCCACATTCCATTTTTTTTCTTTTTACATTTTTCTACATTTGTACCTTTACCTCCATCCATTTCCATTTCTTCCTCCACTTTCATCTCTCGTTCCATCTATTCTCCTTCCTACATCTCCACCCCTTTCTTTATTTTCACAATTTCCTCCTTCACCTCTTTCTCCATCTCCACTCCTCCCTTTTGTAAGCACCCCTCTCTTTATCACCATCCTTCCTCTCTCTCTCTCTCTAACCTATTCTTCTATCTCATTCTTCCAGTTCCATTTTTTCCTCTATCTCCATCATTGCATTTTCCTCCATCTTCACCTTTTCCTCCATCTCCACTCCAATCTTCATTGGCACCACTTTCTTTTTCCTCCATCTCTACCTATTCCTCTATTTCCTTCTTTGATTTCCACTTCTTCCATCTTCATCGATTTATCCACAATTTCCTCCACCTTTTCCTCTACCTCCACTTTGCCCTTCATTAGCACCTCTTTCTTTATCCTCCATCTCTACCTATTCCTCCATCTCCTCCTTTGATTTCTGCATCCTGGGTAAGATGTTAAACTACCTCCGCGTTCTTGGTAAGACGATAAACTATGTCCAGCAGCAAGGCCTTTGATCTTAATTGCTGGTGTTCCCAGGTCCACCCTGACCTGGGGTGGTAGCACCTGTTAGGGTCCCAGCTATGGGAAAATAGTTAACTATTACCAGCAATACAATTTTGAAGGAAATATATTTTTGACAAAACAAGGTATTGCCAGCAATAAAAAGTGTTGTCGGCATTGAATAACCCATTGAGGTTGGTATACTGTATAACAAAATAAACCTAAACCAAACCTTCGATTTCTACTTATTCTTTCTTCTCCATCAGTATATCTACAATTTCCTCCACCTCCACTTCTTCTTTCATTAGCACCTCTTTCTTTATCCTCCATCTCTACCTATTCCTCCATCTCCTTCTTCGATTTCCAATCCTTCCTCAATCTTGACCCTTTTTTTTATCTCTGTTTCTTCATCCATCTCCACTTATTTTTCACCTCCAAATTTTCTTCCATCTCCACTCCTTTTCCGTCATTTTTTTTCTCTACCTTAAACAGATCCCACTTTTTCTTTGCATCTTTCTACAACCAATTCTGTTGGATTTCTTCTCCTCAATTTTTCCAACTCAACATTATTCTTTCATTGCTCATACATTAGAGTTTATTTCACAAAGTCAGTGTATGAATGCTCTGTAAATTCTAGCCTTTTGCCAAGCTTAGCTTAGCATGGCCTAAATAAAAATCTTCTTCATCTTTGTTTTTCATTTCTTCTACATCACACTCCTATATATTTTCTTTTGTTTCTCTCTGAAAGAAAGAAAAAAAGAATGGAAGAAAGAAAAGAGGAGGGAACGAATCTGAAATTTTAAAGCTTATCCTTTTCTTTTACATATAAAAAGAGAGTTATCATAATTAAAAACTGAAGTTCAACCTTGTACCACTTATAAGAGTTTATCATTACAATCTTGTGCTCAATAATCTGAACCTGGGGATTGAAACTGAGACTTGATGCCCAATTGTAAGCTGTACCAAATGAGCAATTGCCTAATTTAATTAGACAATAATGTTCTTATAAGATGAATTACAAAAACAAAATAATTAAGTTAATTGGAAATTTTATAGATGCCTCAAATTTTGATTGTTGGGAAAAGAATATTCGAGTTTCAAAATAATCCTCTTGTTTCAGAATAGAGATTACGGTTGATCAAATGGATTTTCCTGATCGAAAAACCCAAATGCTGCAATCTTTAATCTACAATTAAGATGATTAGCAAATTGAAATCAGTTTTAGAATTAAAGAAAATGTTACCAAAATAAAAAAAATGAAAACATTAAAAGAGAATTTATTTTTGAGATGAGCAATTACCATTATTATATGCCTTGCTTGTTTCGTTTGTTATACCTAGTGGCCTTCCTCAGGTGTCTGTCATCTTATAGTGATAATTGAAAGACAATTTCCAATTCTAATAGAATACAGTCTTACTTTTTTTTACAGCAGATGTTTAAATAAAAATCTATTATTAGAGAACTTTATTTATTTTTGATAACATATGAGTTTGAATGTAGCTCAGAAGAAGTAATAATTGTATTTGATGGTTGAGACTGATGACTTAGATTCAGAACTGCATTTATAAAATTACAAAATTTATGCACTGACTACTGTACAACTAGCAGCAATGTCTCCAACCAAGACTTCATCAGATGATACCCTTAGGGTCAGGCATAAGAAGTACCTTGTGATACCACCTGCCTATCTTGGTTCTCTATCACATTGTTTTCTTCTTTTATATACTATGACCCTTCTGAAGATAGACTATCATGGCTCTCCACAACCTCTGTTACACTTAGCAATATTTGTCTTTTTACCATCCCTCCCTCTCTCTGTTCTGTCATTCATTCACAAAAGCTTGTTAGGTAGGTTACTTACTGTTTCCTTCTGGGTCTTATGAGTACCAAACTCTCCAGTCTTTCTCTTCTCTTTTGTTTGTATTCTAGAAATTCTAGAACTCTTTCTGATTTTATACATAATTTTCTTTTTCTTTCTGAACCCTTTATTCCGCTCACTGGGGTAGACTGTTCTAGTTCCACGTGCCATGTCTGATGGATGTCAGTTATTAGTTATCTCCTGCTAATTTATCCTTTATCCTGCTAATTTATCCTTATCCTGCTAATTATCCTTTATCCTGCTGTGTCTTGTGTCCTCAAGGACACATGGCACAGTGGATAAAGGCGTTGACAGGACAGGACCCAAAGAGTGTGAGTTCAATACCCGGTTAAGGCAGTGGAGAACTTTCAGAGGGAAAATTAGCAGGAGATAACTGATAACTGACATCCATCAAACATGGCACGTGGAACTAGAACAGTCTACCCCAGTGAGTGAAATAAAGGGTTCAGTTCGAAATTCCAACCACCTGAAGAAGGCCGGAGCATACAACGGCTGAAACGTTGTGATAAATATGATGACAAAGATGAGGACAATAGTCCGAATAATGTAAATAATGTACATAATACCTCATCTCAGAAATATAGACAGAATCTTTCTGCAGAACCACATCTCTGTTCCCTCAAATCATTTGTGAGGAAATTATTCAGTATTCAATACTATATGGGAGGATTGATATTGCACTGCAGTTCAACACTCTTTTCTTTGTTTCTAATGAAATTTTCCTGCTTCTTAATACATTGTTTAGTTTTTAGAAGGCATTTTGCTATTCCAATGCACCGTCGGATTTCAGTGTTACATTTTCTGTTATCTGTTATGACTCTTCTCAGATATTTAAAATTCTGTACTTGTTTGCTTTTGATATCTTCAGTTTGGGCCGTTCCTGTTGCTAACAACCATATATTCTGTTCTCTTACAGTTGAAGGCTAGTTCATTCTTTTATTTTGATACTATTAGTTCACCCAAGGAAAGGAGATATTGGGAAGCCTCCAGGGTGCATATTTATATTTTGATAAGATTTGATAACAGCACTTTTGAGAGTTTTGCTTCTGAGAAAGTTACTTTCTTTTTTTTAATAAGTGTGGCATTCGCCATAAAAAAAACAAACTTAGTCACTTTCATTTATTATTGAATTGTATCACCTCACATCCATAAACTTGCCTAACTTTTCCGCTAACCTGATGAATATTCATAAGCACTTTGTTATATTCCGTGCTAAGGGAATAAATACTTAACACCAGGTGGATCATAGAAGAAAGGTTTATTGTACACAACCAGTACAATATGAAATACGGTACAGTTATACACACAGGTCTATCTAGTAGTGAGTGCCACTAATTGGAAGGTCGGACGTGCTTGCATCCTCTTTCACTCTTCCTGCAGTCTCTTGTAGACAGTTGACTTTATAGGTACTTACTACCTATAGTGTAATCATTCATGAGGGTGACTGGTTATTCCATTACGTCACACTCCTATACCTAAAAATTTTGAAAAATCTATAACATTTTTGCTCTCGTATATAAATACTTGTCACAAAATAAAATCATTATATTTGTCTTGATAAAGTCTCTCAAAAGACAAGCACGATAAGTTTTACTTTTGTCTTTATTCATATTGTCCTTTTATGTATATACTCTATCTGAAATTATTGCATATCTTATGTTGTTAAGATCATGCCCACTGATAATAAATCCTGGCAGTATCTCCAGCTCCTTTGGGATTTTCTTGCCATAAATGTTGTCAGGTGTAAGCAGATGTAGTCGCCAATCTTGAAGTCTACATCTTTTGAAGATTGTTCAATTCAACTGACTGCTAAACCTGCCATTAGTATTCTCTGGGACAAACCAAATTACAAAGAAGACCCTCACTAAAATGTAAAGGCGCACATGCACATCGGAGTGAAATCAAATTGAACTAGCAAGAAGCCAACTACCAACTGTGAGCAAAAAAGTGCACCATCCACACACACACCAATGATAAAAGAGGCCAGCTATTTGTGTTGGTTCCATTGTATAGCCAGTGTGAGAAGTGACTCCATATTCTGTGTCCAGGTCTTGGTTGAATCCTAACCCTAACCAGATAGAAATACAAGTAAAAAATCTCAATACATGCATCTTTTCATAGTCACCAGTTAGCTAAGTGTTGTAGTATACCTACAGACGATAATGGGTATGTTCCCATTCACATAAATATGGTAGTAGATATTGTATGTTGGTCTGCAGTTAGAGATTCATCTCCAGCTGTACTGGTCAAGCTCTCTGCACAGAGGCAGAAAGAATCACCAGACAAAGCTATGTTGAAGGGCAGAGTCTCGTATTGGGAAACAGCTACCTAACCCAATTTTATACTAGGTCTACAGGGAATTTTTGGCCTAACCTATGGGCATGGATACCCCACATTAAATTCGACCTTGTGCCACATCTGACTGCGTGGTTGGTAGATATCCTGCAGTTGGAGATTCATTGTCCAATTCACTTGATTCACTTCTAACAGTTGACTACTTCTTCTACACGCTGCTGGCAAATCTTATATGTGTTGTTCTTGTTCTAAGTATTATCGTTCATTACCAACCTTCATTTGATTATTCTATTCAGTAACCTTCCCTGGTTATAACACTAAGATACTGAACAAAGATCAAATAAATATTCATAATAATTGGCTATTCCAACCTGAAGACAATGCTTTCAAGCTTTGAGAGGCACCTTGATATGGTGTAATGGTTAACAAGCTTGTCTCACTGAAAAAACGATGACTGAATAGTGAATTTGATCCTCATTGGGTGCCCAATACTTCCAGCTATGTTTATAAATTAATTTAAGGCACCTCAACATGGTGTAATGGTTAGCAAGTTTGTCTTGCTGAAACAATTATGACTGAGTAGTGAGTTCGATCCTCACTAGGTGTCCCATACATTTGGCCTTGTGTTGCATCTTATCTATGCTTAGAAAGTCAACATATAATCTTTGGGCACTTTGACATTGTGGAATGGTTAGCAAGGTTGTCTTGCAAGATCAATTACGACTGAATAGTGAGTTTGATTTTCACTGGCCTCTCGCTCCACACTTTCAGCCTTGTGTCACATCTAGCCTATGCTTAGATAATGTTTCAAAAGGAAAAAACCGAAAAAGACAATTTGTATATTACCAAATTTTTATGTCACAGGTGTTTTAGTATGATCCCTGTGAATATGTGGTATTGTGGTATATGTTGGATTGAATAGTGAAGGTACTTGTGATGATTGAGTCAACTGTAAAAATGAAAGTGTCATGATTCAGGTTAGCTATGTGTAGGAGAGTTAGTGACGATCACCCTTCCATTTCATTCTTAGGCCACAATTGTATTTTTAAATACAGGGTGACCAAAAAAAAAACGGGAACTTTTTAACAATCCAATAAAACCAAGAGTGATGGAAGAAAAATATTTTATTCCTAGTAATTGAAACCTTAAAACATGCCATTTAAGAAACAATGATGGAATTTTCATTTTTTTAAAATTACGTCCTGCAGATGGCGTCCTCCTGTACGAATGCATTCTTGAAATCTGCTGTTGAGATTCCTCATTGACTGCTGCAACGTCTCAGCTGGGATACTGTGAATTTCATCTTGAATTCTAAATGGCGAAATGTTTACTTGCTCAAGGTCACTGTCTCGTAGTGTTGCCACTTGCTCATGTCTGGCAATATGCACTTCAAAAATTCCCGTTTTTTGGGTCACCCTGTATAATAAATAAATTTCCAAGTTTCAAAGAGGCTTTTCTTCCATGAAAAGAAGATACACCAGACATTCTGTTCATTAAGATGCTGGAAGTTATCTTGTTCCCTGAAAGAAATCAGTCTAGCTTTTATTAATTCTTGTAAGTAGCACTAAAACATCTTTCGTCACCAACAAATAAAACTAATATATGTTAGTCTTGTGTATGATGAACGAGCCATATATATATATATATATATATATATATAGTCATCCACATACAAGCTTGTTTCACTGTATCACTGTGTGGCTAGACATCCGATTGCTTCAAGCCAGGATTGAAACTCATCTGATTTGGCATCAGTTGGAGATTCTACCCCTAAGCTATCAGCACACAGCAGAGAAAGCGAAATTTTTAATATATTATATACATGATGTATACAAATGCCAGTAGTCAATAGTGCTCAATTCATAACTGAAGAGGGATGTGTTAATAGCAGGATAGCCACTGTTTATATATATATATATATATATGTTTATATATATATATATGTTTATATATATACCCAAGTATATAATTGGTATATACGGAATGATTTCCAATAACCAACAATTACTATTCTTAAAAGAGTGCTCAATACAAAAGTAGAGCAGATATAATTATTATTTATAAAAAAAATTATAACATAAGTATGTTATAAAATCACTACAAAAATAGCCATTTTGTTACAACACACTCAGTGTCTTATTTTATCTTCAACATCATCACTTGATAAGACACCGAGTGTGTTGTAACAAAATGGCTATTTTGTAGTGATTTTATAACATACTTATGTTATAATTTTTTAAATAATAATTATATATATATATATATATATATATATTGTATATATATATATAAATATATATATATATATATATATATATATATATATATATATATATATATATATATATATATCCACTGTTTATATATATATATAAAATTTATATATTTTAAATTTTATATATATATATATATAATTCAATATCATATATATATATATATATATATATATGATACTGAATTTATATAGGTATCATGTAACAGAAGATATACTGCTTTAAGCATCTTGAAGCTGGGAAAAGGACTTGCAGAAATATTGAGCCAATGCAAGATCCAATATGATAATGCCATGATAATCTGAAAATTCCTAAGTCGGAATTCTTATTAACATTATTGTAAGGTGCCTTGACAAATCATTCTAATTGAACATTAGCTTGATTTTTTTTACACTAAAATCATGGCTAAGATTTCTGCTGAAACAAAGATGAATGTTCTGACTTTGAAGGGAAGGCAACTCAAGGAGAGATAGCCAAGCAGCTGGGAATTTCAAGAAACAGTGTTCAAACCACCCAAAAGATGTTTGCTGCTACTGGAAATGTTTTAAGTGCAAAGAAAACTGGAAGACAAGTTAGACAAGAGAAATGAAAGAAAGATTGTGAAAGTCCAATCCCAAATTAACAGCCAGATAAGTGAGGATTGAATGATGTCTTCACAGTGAAGTTTCAGTTGACACAATCATTGTATATTATTAAAGAACAACTTGTATCGGTGTATATCAGGAAACAAAACACCATTAACCAAAAAAAAATAACCAAAAAAAAAAAAACATTGAAGGTGTAGATGGTTCATTGCGGTTATGTTGTTGATAGAAGTCAGACGTAGAAGAAACGCAAGTAAGGTTCAGATACTCCTGCCTGCCGAGCCCAACTACATAAAAAGGTTGGACTTTGATTAAGTCCAAAGAAGAAGGCAAAGAAAGCAAACAAAACACAAGACCGATAATATATGTATATACAAATATATATTAATAACAAGTTACAATACATGGAAACAGTACAAAGGACGAAGTGTGTGTGAATATTTTGTATGTGCGTGCGTGTGTGAATATTCTGTATGTGCGTGCGTGTGTGTGTGTTGTGCTTAGCGTGTTTCCACGCTATCCCTTGTTAGCGCCTACATTTCGAGGTTGATAGCTGAAATCCTGAAGGAAAAAAATAAATTTACCTCAACTTGTCAGTGCACAGGCCTGAAGGAAAAAGAGATAGAGGCCAAGGGTCAGCGGCTATTTATAGCCAGGGAAGAGAGACCCCTGGTGAAAGGGTTAACGGACTGAAGGAGGAGTTAGCTCCGGCAAAGGTTAAAGTCATCAAAATAACATCAAAGAGCATGTTGGGAAGTGACAAAAAGTAAATTTAATGATGAAGGCAAAAATAGAGTTAGATTCTAATGAAAGAAGATATGTAGGAAGTCCAGTGAAAGAAAGAAACAATACAAGATACAACATAAAAGGTGGTAACATTTGGTAGGGTACACAGAATGATGTGAGTTTGCAACAACAGTGATGGGAGAAGAACAGTGAAAAACTATATTAGCTTATAAAAGTCTGGTCTGGTGCAAAGCAATGAAGATCAACAAATAACGTCTGAAGATAGCTGAAAATATGACAATGATGTTTATAACAAATTACTTTTTCTTTATTGTAACTATGTCAATTTTAATAGGAAAATATTATAGGCAACTCGTTTTATTTAGCGACCTTCGCGTTTTCGCGGGAAAACAGCATAGCGTAATGAAAAATGCCACAAACTTAACGAAAATAAAGTTTTATCGTCAAAATGCTTATGTTATTATTAAGATGAAAGACCAAAGTATTTTTTAATTATTTTTTGAAATTTTTTAATATTTTCTAACACGTTCGACTTTATTTTATTATCAACAAATAAAGTACAAAAGCAAATTCTGAGCAGTGTTTTAAAATTATTATCTAAAATGAAATATATTACAATATTTAGAGTCTTGTCAAAACTGTCATTTAAAAGCATATAAAGTGTGCTTTATTTTTTTTTATATATATGATTATGGTAAAGAAATGACTAAAAGAAAATAATTATTAATTGAATGCTTGTGTAATGATGCCCTTAAGTTTGCCACTTACGGATCTGATTACACAAACTTTAAATGACTTTCTTTACTGTCTTGATTACGGTCATATCTTGAGTGTTTGTGTTTTTGAATCTAGATATAAAGTGAATAAAAATATCACAATAAACTTTTTTATTGAATCATTATTCCTCTACCTTTCTCTTGCTTTTTTAAGGTCATTTCTTTCCATTTATTTCAGGTCAGTCATTTTCGTAAATTCTTGCACTCATGGAAATATGTTGACCTTTTTACAGTTGTCTTTTATTCTTGATGGAATAAGTTTATTCAGTACCCCTGCCCTCATACATTTGACAGAGAGATGTTAATTGAAATTGCCTTAGGGGTAATGGGTGTTGGGTGTAAGAAAAAAAATTAATGTGAGGGAAAATATACGGGTATGTGAGGTAGGGTATCACTTGAAAATAGATAAAAAATATAAAGGACTGACCCCCATGTTGTTAAAAATAAAATTAAATAGCACATATCTTGAGCATTTTTATCATACAACATTCCTATTTACACATATATAAAAATGCAGATTGAATATGAACATCATAACAACATCTATCTATCTATCTATCTATCTATCTATCTATCTATCTATCTGTTCATATCAATCTATCTATCTATCTATCTATCTATCTATCTATCTATCTATCTATCTATTTTTGCCTGTTCATATCAATCTATCTTGATCTGTTTATATCTATCTATCTATCTATCTATCTATCTCCATTTTTGCCTGTTCATATCAATTTATCTTGATCTGTTCATATCTATCTATCTATCTATGGGTGTTCATATCTATCTACCTATCTTGGTCTCATGTGCGTGTACATGTAGAATTTTGTGATTATTTGTCCTTTTTGTTGCTGTTTTTCCACTTTACACTCACTCCTTATTGTTGTTTTTACTTTTTCTCTCTTTTTCTCTTTTTCCTCTTTTCTTTCAGTTGTAGCCATTTTAACTTTCGGTTTTCCACACATACACTGTCCTTATGCAGGCAATACCATGGTTTATGGGAGCACTGCTAGAAATCTCGATGACTAGAGCCTGGCATCTGATTATTTCTCTGACCTTGCTCAGCTCAATGAGGAATTGGAGACCCCAACTTTTCCCTGGTCATTATAAACAATCTCAATGAGGCTCCTTAACCATAATATCTAATGGGACTCAAGCTCAATCCAGACCTTAAGCGAAACTGATATATGCACGATCCATCACTAAAGATGCTGGAAGAAAGTGACTGGCTCTTTCCTGCCATGCTTTTTTGAGCCAGATCAGACCAAAAATAGATTAATGTATTTGAGCTAATTCTACCTAATCCTGACTTTTCAGCCTTGACAGAGTTCAATGTGTTTGTACAGCCATGTGTTTGAGGAATTGCTTGCCACACTATAACCACCCCCCCCCGCCTTTGCTTCAGATGCAATTTACTTAGCCTCTTTACTACTTTCTTACTATTTTCAGGGTAGATATTTGGGCAGACTACATTCCTTGTTTCTACCTGTTCAGACCTTCACAGCTTGGATCCGCCAGGCCAATGGCACTGAGTCAACACATCCTCATTCCATTCATATATGAGTGGAAAATTGTCTTGAAATAAAACACTTTAATCATCTCTCTTCTGAAGGCAAGAAATATGCTGTAATCCAGCAAGGTTACCAAAAAGTGCCCAGGCTGAAATAACCTATACTTTCATTTATTAACAATTCTTGTTTTGTTTCATTACACTTGTTGGTTTCTTACGATGTGGTGGGATTGAATAATCAGTCTGATGCGAATTGTGTATTTCACTAATTACGCTAAAAGAAAGTCTTGTCATGGCAGAACATAAGGAGTTGCAGGAAAACAAAGAGGAAGAATTTGAAGATAAGCCTCAAGAGGAAAAGAAAAAAAGAAAATTGGCAAAGATATAAGCGAAAAACTAATGAAAATCTTAAGAAGATGAATCCAAAAATATGTTAGCGTTAGTTTTCTTTTAGGCTATGATTTATTACAGCAATTTAATATGCTCGGCTTTCGAAAAAGCTTCACTCTGAAAACTTCATGGCTACATTTGAAATGATCAGTTTTCATTTAAGCAGTCAGACGAAGACAAGCAAGATTACACTATCTGGATAAATGGTACGCTTACTTCAAGAGCACTTAGGCACCCGACCCCCTGCCATATGTATGTGTGTGTGTCTGTGTGTGTCTGTGTGTGTGTTCAGTTTTTTTAATTTCTTTTGGTAATTATATTTTTAATGTACTCCAGTTGTTAAGACTTACACTTTTATGATGGATATTCAATTTGTTAATGATATTTTGCCTTTTTTTAATGACAGATTATCCCAAAAGTGATAAATAAATTATAATTTAGCCAACTTAAGCATCCATGATGATACTGCGTTATTGATATATTGAATAGTATTTATACCTGTGGATTTGCTTCAGGGCTTTATGCAGGCACCAGAAAGTTGAAAAACATTTTTCTTCCAGTTACCAAATTTCTTTTGCTGGTTTTAATGAACTTAATAAAAAAAAAAAAACACATTTTCTTTAAAAGCCAAAAAAAAAAAAAAAAAAAAAAGAAAGAAAGAACTCTTCTTATGCTTTCCAACTCAACAAATGGAAAAAAAAAATTACGATAATAAATCAGAAAATATAAAAACAGCACGATTTAAGATTGCATTTATTTTCCATCACAATAAATCATCCAAGGACGAAGATCTTCTTCTTCATTATGTGTTGTGTCCCTTCAAGACATATGCAATCATGGGCCTCCACATACTCTTCTTGCCCCTTGCAGCTCTTAATAAATTTTTACTCTTTGTTATTTCTATCTATCTATTTGCCAGCTACTGATTCTATTTAAAATGACGCTTTAAAATTCCCAGAAGCTCTACAAATCAATGAAGAATGTTTTTTGTAATGTCTATAAAATAATTCTTACATGTATATATTACATATTAAATATATATATTATGTATATACAAATATACTTTTTATACAAAGACAATACGTCCACAAAATATCTTTTTTTTCACTTAAACATTAATGGATGCCCAAATTTGAGTACATTCTTTGTTTATTCATTAAACATTATATTTATTTGTTTTCATCTGCCAGCCTGAGAAATATTATTAAAGAAAGATATGCCAAGGAGTACATAATTTTTATTTATAAAATTTCTCAAAAATAAATAAATACAACGATTTAATAAATAATTAGTGTCTACTCAAATACAGACATCCACTAAAAATAAGCTTTAAGTGGTAAAAAATGTATCAGATTGATAAATAAAAAATCCATTACTTTTTTATATATATATATATATATATATATATAGGAAGAAATATAGTCTTAAGATGTGCTATATTTATGGGATGAAGTGCTCAATATCAGAGATAGGGCGTGTGTAAATATAAAAGTGAACATAGAAGTCAACACTTAGAGGCGACAGTCTGTTTCATGCTAAATGCAATCGTTAGGCACGATGATTGCATCTAGCATGAAACAGACTGTCGCTTCTAAGTGTTGATTTCTATGTTCACTTTTATATATATATATATATATATATATATATATATATATAATTATGAAAGCAGAGACTTTAGAAAGCCATGATAATATTGTATTTTTTCAAAATTTTTGGTCTGATGAGACAAAACTGAAGTATTGGTTTTGTGAAATAAAAAATTGCCATGGGTTTCTTAAGTCTCCGCTTTCATAATTATCATTTGCTCTGTTCTTACATTGAGCTCTGATAATTATCCATATAGATTACCAAATAATATCATCATCATCATCATCTCTCTCTCTCTCTCTCTCTCTCTCTATATATATATATATATATATATATATATATATATATATATATATATATAATAAATTTCCAAGAGAATAGAATCCAGGTAGAACTCAATGTCCAAGACATAGTAAGAATATAATATAAAATGCTCGAACACTAATATTCCATGGTTATAATTTATTACATTGGAATCATCTTACTTATTATAAAACGCAGATTGTGTGTGTGTGTGTGTGTCTGTAACGTTTATATATTGGATCGGATTTCCTACATTTTTCAACCGATTTCAACGAAACTTCACAGGATAAAATTACCTTGTGG